TGGTCAATTAGTAGCCGCCTGTCCAGCGGTAAAATATGGTTGGATACATATAAAAGAACTGGAACGGTTGAAATACTTATCTCTGAAAAATCATCAAAACTATAATGCAACTATAAAAATTCCAGAATATGTAAATAATGACTTAAATTGGTGGATAAATCATATTAAAGGTTCAGCTCAATCTATTTCCAGCAATCAAAATTTTGTTCTAGAGATATTTACGGATGCCTCCAATTCAGGGTGGGGAGCGTATTGCAAGGGTCAATCTACTCACGGTTTTTGGACAGAGAATGAAAAACGATGTCATATAAACTATCTTGAACTGGTAGCGGCTTTCTATGCGTTGAAATGTTTTGGTAGAGGCTTTTTTGATAGTGAAATTTTGTTGAGAGTAGATAATAGGACAGCTATAGCATGTATTAATAAGAAGGGGAGTATTCAGCATAAGAAATTAAATACGATAACAAGATCTATTTGGGATTGGTGTGAGACTCGTAATATTCAAATTTTTGCATCGTATATACCATCTAAAGAAAACACTCATGCAGATGGTGAATCAAGATCATTGGCTATTGAAACAGAGTACGAGATAAATCAAGAAGTTTTCAGACAGGTTTGCAATAAATTTGGAAGACCAGAAATTGACTTATTTGCCTCAAAGAAAAATGCTAAATGTGAAATTTATGTGTCTTGGGGCCCTGATCCTGATTCAACTTACATAGATGCCTTCACAATCAGATGGAATTTATTTTTTTATGCTTTTCCACCTTTTTGTTTAATTCAGAAGGCTCTCAACAAAATAATAAAAGACAAAGCAGTGGGAATTTTAATAGTGCCCTTATGGCAAGCACAACCGTGGTTTCCCCTCTTTAAAAGACTCTTAATATGCGATCCTATTATTTTAAAACCTAATAAAAAACTACTGTTCTCGCCTTTCAGAACCCCTCATCCACTACATATGAGTCTTACATTGGTTGCCGGGAAATTATCCGGAGAGCAATGGTAAAGAGAGGAATACCAGAATCTGCTCTTCCTATCATTAATGCATCTATAAGTAAAGGAACACTCGACCAATATAATATATGTTACAAAAAATGGTGGTCATATTGTAGAATTAGGAACATTTGCCCAATTATATTTGATTTGGGACACTATTTATCATTTTTTCAAACACAGTTTAATAATAGTTTATCATATTCAACAATAAATATGTATAGATCAGCTCTTAACTTAATAAACCCACAAAGTTCGGAACATGAAAAAATAATTAGCAGATTTTTAAAGGGAGTTTATAATATTAAGCCTCCAGAACCGAAATATAAATTCACCTGGGATACAAAACCAGTTCTAGATTATTTGAAAAGCCTTCACCCTCTAGAAAATTTAAGTTTACAGTTATTAACAAAAAAGTTAGTTATGTTGTTAGCTCTAACATCTGGTCACAGAGTTCAGACACTGTCAAAGATAACTTTACAAAATATAATAGATTTAAAGGATAAAATAGAAATTAAGATAAGCGAAAAAATGAAAACTTCGGGAAAAAATACGCTCCAACCCGTACTAATTTTTCCTAGATTTGAGGAATGTCCCGAACTATGTGTTTTTTCTGTAATTAAGTATTATATTGTTGAAACACAACAGATTAGAGGAAATAATACGTATCTAATATTAACACATAAAAAACCATACCATCAAGCGTCATCACAAACCATTAGTAGGTGGTTAAAAGACGTCTTGAAGTGTAGTGGTGTAAATACAGACATCTTTAAGGGTTACAGTACTCGTCATGCATCGACTTCTATGGCTTTTAGATTAGGTGTTAATATTGATACTATTAGAAACACAGCAGGTTGGTCAAGACAATCCAATGTTTTTAATAAGTTCTATAATCGTCCAGTAATGGAAGATACAACTGTATTTGCCAAAAATATATTGGGAATAGAGACAAAAAATTAATAGTTAATATTTACATAATTTTGTATACTGCTAGGACTAGATTATAATATGAAAGCAATTTACTTGTTAGAAATTATAACGGGATTTTTTTTTGTATATTAGGTATTATTATTATTATCATAAATGTGGTTATTAAATAATATTGTTGTTGAGAAGACTATGACTATTATTTAATAGGTAATCTATTATAGTCACATCTTGTAGATCTAATTTTCAGATCGCACTGTTTTCTTTAAACATCTACGAGTGTAATTACCAAGGAAGAAAAGCGAAGTAAAATTAGAAAGTTGATTGACTTACCTGTAAGGAGGATCAACTTTAATTTTGCGAGCTTTTCTTCCGAAGGTAATTACAAACCCCCCCAAACCCATAATGCCCTGTGCGATCTGAATTAATAGACAAACAACGAAGTGAAGCCACGACATTCCTTTGTCGTTGGGTTGGTTTTTGTGTTTATGTTTATGTTAGAAGTTTTTTGCTTTGAAATGTACCGGCCAGGTATGAATCAGCGATACTACGAGTGTAATTACCTTCGGAAGTAAAGCTCGCAAAATTAAAGTTGATCCTCCTTACAGGTAAGTCAATCAACTTTCTAATTTTAAATGCAACATTTGCAAAGCAAAATTTAAAAAAAAAAGGCAGTTTGAAGAGACACAAACTAACACACTTGGACGAGAAGAATTTTAAATGCAACATATGCATTGCAAAATTTAAAGAAAAATTTAAATTAGGAAAATTTAAACAAAAAGGTAATTTGAAAAGTCACATATCAACAGACTTCGATAGTTACCTTTTTGAATGTGACATTTGCAAAGCAAAATTCAAAGGAAAAGACTGTTTAAAGAGACACAAAATAACACAGTCTGATATTTATTCTTTTAAATGTGACACATGCAATGCAAAATTTGAACACAAACGTAGTTTGAGAAGCCACATATTAACACACTCGGATGAGGAGAATTTCCAATGTAACATTTGCAATGCAAAATTGAAAAGAGAAGGCGATTTGAAGGAACACATATTGATACACTTGGATATTTAATTTTTTTGAATGGGACATTTGCAAATCAAAATTTAAACGGAAACGCGATTTGAAGATACACAAACTAACACATTCGGGTATTTATCCATTTGAATGTGACACTTGCAAGGAAAAATTTGAAGAAAAATAATTTACAAAGGCACATTTCAAGACACTCGGATATTTATCCTTTTGAATGTGACACTTGCAAATCAAAATTTAAATGGAAAGTCGATTTAAAGATTCACAAACTAACACATTCGGATATTTATCCATTGGAATGTGACACTTGCAATGCAAAATTTAAGCAACACCATAATTTGAAAAGCCACATGTTAACACATAGATTGTTTATTATTTGATTCACTTAATAGTGACATGTGTTTAGCTCCGAGATCCTTGAACTCAGCCACAAAATTCACCAGTTCCGGAATAAGGAAAGGGTGACAATTTATCAATATGCAAATCGGTACACTGAGATTTAGATATTAAATTAACTTATTTACTTCTTATAAATAGCTAAAATCTTAGGCATGGTAGAGGAAGATCCAAAACTTAGGCTTAAGCATTGAATATATAAAAAAAAGATTCAGAAATCGGTAAATCGTTACATAATTGTTTCGGAATGATGTTTTTGGAGAATCAAGAAGTTAGCGATTTCTTTGTTTTCGAGTTGTTAGCTATTCAGCCGAATCACGAAGTTCTAGTTAAATTTTCAGATTATCTCATCGACACATGGCACATGCCTCGATAGACCTGGATAAGAAAACAAATGCCTGTGAATCTTTCCATAGTCATTTTGGTAATTTTTTTTATTTTGCGCATCAAAATACATATTTACACTTTTTTAGATTTATTAACTCATATGCAATGCGAAATCTGTCAACATCATAAGGTAAGTTTCATGGGAAGTAGGTTGGGTTTCATGATTTGGTCGAATTCAAAGGTAGGATTATTGCAGCTACCTGGTTTGTGGCCGAATTCAAGTATGCCCGTTTCGCTCATACGAGCATCATCGGACCTACAATATAATATATATAGAAAATAATTAAAATTTAAGAAATTTCCAGGGGGGGTCGAGTGACCCCCTGACCCTCCCTGTGGGCGCCCTTGCAGCATTGTGGGGCCTTTTTGGACCTTGGGCGGTGCACCGAACTGCCTTGCCCCTGGGCACGGGTTTCTCGCAATTGCGAAATAAAAATAAAATATCCCGATCCGAGCCGGAAGTGATTAGCCGAGGAATGTCGCGGGGAATAAAGAGTGCGAGGGGGCTATTGATTCTCGTTTCGCCAATTTTTTCAAACAGTAACTATTAAAAAAATAATAATAATAAATTAAAAATAATTTTTGCAATGTATTTCTGACAGGGGGGTGCAAGTGCACCCCCTTGCACCCTGCTGCCGGTGCCCATGCGTGTGAGTACCTATGTATGATGCTGGTTATTGGAAATACGGCATTTCATTGACGAATTGCATGTATGTAATGTGTTTTGTGATTTCTTGGAATAATTCCTGTAGTTGGCAAAAATAATCGTCTGTGAAATACGGATGCGTCGGAACGTCAAGCTCTATAAGTTTCGACACTATTAATATTCCCTTTTAGAACCTTCAAAAAATAATTCTTGTTGCGTAATGACTTTGCCATTTTCAACTTATCTCCTTATTTCGATATTAAAGTGAAACATTATGGCGAAAACGTGTCATATCCATTGTTCATAATTGTTTGATCTCATTAAGATTACTTATCAATAAAATTGGTAATTTCCATCTTCGACAATATGATTTTATCTGAAATTATTATCATTAACTCGAGGTAAATTAATTGAACATAAACCTAATTTCAGATTAAACTGGATAAAAGAACGGCTGAAAGTTAATAGCTTCAGGTATAAATAGTAGAAAAATTAAAGTTGGTCACGATAACTCAAACATATTCATTTGAATAAACTATACAAATATTATTTCAGCTTTTTGAGAGGCTATAAAATGGAAACCCTTGTAATACAAATAATAATTTGACTTACCCAAGAAAAAACTTAGAAAATAATACTCCCACTTGATCATATCTTTGTTGAAATCATTGAAAATATTGACAACGTTGAGTGGAAGCCACGATAACAAAAACACAGCTACCATAGCTATAAGCATTCTATTGGTTCTACGTTTCCTTTCCCTGTCAGCTTCTTCTTTTCGGCTATTTTTTGAACCTGGCTTTGACCTGAAATCAAATTTCAATTTTCATAATAATCAAATTATTACCAATGACTCCTTACCTAGCTCTATCATTCAGTTTAATCGACACACAAATATAGCAGTAAGCCATAATCAAAAACGGTATGAGAAATTGTAGAGCGGTAGTAATTGCACCAAAAGCGGCTCGCCATTGTTCCACGGGCCAATTTTCCTCGCAATAATATCGTCCGTTATTTTCCGAGTCTTTCATGTGTTTCATGTAGATGCCGTAAGGACTCGTAACTACTATAGCAAACACCCAGATTATGATGATTATTATGACGCAGGTGGATAGTTTCATTCGGGGATGAAACGGGTAGATTATCACAAAATATCTGAAATAGAATTGACTTGATGTTAAAGATTTTGTTACATTCGAATTGAGTTTTGCGGGTCGTAAAATTTAAATGGAAGACGATAAGGAAATTGAATTTTCAGGGGGAGAAATATCGAATTTGATTGTATGGCGAGTTCTCATAAGGCCAAAATAAATGACTTCTTGAAATTTTGAAATGAAAAGAGTCTCTTAATAAAGTGTAGTTACTGAGACACTACTGTGCGTAAGTAAAATTTTCGTATCATATTCGTCGGATAAAACTTATTTGGCCATTTGTGCTTCAATCTTGTTATATGGTAGTTAACATAACTTTAACTGACTGGTGGCTGTTTAACTTAGAAATGAAATTTATCTGCACTTCATCCGATGATGAAGAAACTGGCCTTTAGTGAATCCTTGGAAAATTCTACGAATATATAATCAAATAATTGAACAAATGAACCCGGGAAGGAGCGATAGAATAGAGGAAGGGACAATGCTGCTATAGAGGCTGGGTTTGCCAAGAGTGTGGAAGAGTGTGCGGCTCCAGAATGGAGAAGATAATCATACTCGATATCGAGTGATCGCCTACGATACTGATGACTTCATTTCGGTCTTTTCATTTCTGAGGTTGTTAAAGTTTGTTAAAAATAGAATAGAACCATTCATTTCTTTAATTCTTCAGTTACATATTCCTTGATTTATCAAATGATGCAAAAACTGGCCTCAAAGTGCAACAAATTCTTCAGTATTTCAAATGTAAAATTTAAATCGTATCAATTCTTACCTATCGATAGCAATTGACATCAATGTAAGCGTAGAAATATAAACACTAGCTCCTTGCGCGTACGGCACTAAATGGCAAATGACACTGCCGAAAATCCATTTGCCTAACAAAGTATACAGCGGCGTAAAAGGTACGGCCAAAACGCACAAAAGTATATCGGATAAAGCCAAATTCGTTATAAACAAATTCGTCACTGTTTGCATAGCCTTGTTGCGGAACACTACGAAACACACTAAGACGTTGCCGAACAGGCCTACTATAAAAATCGTAGTGTACACTACGAAGAATAGCACTTGGACGCCTTTTTTGTCAATTATGTCCAATTTCCCCGGTGTTGTCGTGTAGTTGGTGATGTTTAAATTGACCCCGTCGAAAAGAGGCATCTTGATGTTTTGTCTTGAGAAATTATTTGTCTACATTCGTTGCACATATTTTGTTGTTGCGTTGCATGGGATGCAACCTACTACTGGTAATTGGTCCATTTTCACCTAGGCCCGGTATGGTTAGCACCTGAAAAAAAATTAGTAGATTTAATTAGAGAATTGTCGCTTTTCATCCGTTTGTTGTAAATATTTTTATGATTTAACGCGTTTAGTAATACATGTTGACGAAAGATGTCTAATTATTTCAATTGACTAGCGAGTCGTTGTTAATTTGTTGAGTTAACATCCAGCCTGAAAAATGGTTATTTTTAGTAAGATTATTTTTGTTTTTAAAACATTGAGTTATTGTAAGGATAATCATATTTACACATTCTCTCTCTGAAATTTTTATCATCCTGTATCTCAAAAATTAAGACATTAGGGACATACAATTCAGCTTCTACAATGACTTGATGGATTTGAAAGGGGAGCCTTTAAAGGCAGCACGTCGACACGCATGTGGTTTATTGTACTATCCCCCTCTTGGTGCAGCCCTGTCTCACCTTCAGGAGCCCGCAACTATTAAGAAAGGTGTAGATCCGCTCAGGCCGGACATGCTTTATTTCATCAGGTTCCAAGAAACTGTACCCGAGGTATCGTAGTCTGCGACTGACGAGGGCGTCACATTCGCAGACTATAAGCACAGTTTATACCGTACCGATACAGTTGTTCAACTTCGTTGACAAACCATTGATTTTTTTGAAGCCAAATTCTATGTCCCTTATTTCGCGCTTGCGCATTATTGATCGGAAACAACGAATCCTGGGCCGTGGACAGAGTCGGACTAGGATTTTTTGTGGATTAACATTGAGAATATAACGGGATCATATTATAATTTCGAAACAAATAATATAATGATTTTTTGGCTGTTTTTTGATGATGTGATGTTCTAGAAAAATAGAGCACGTAACCAATGTGCAAAAATTTACTAAAGTTATCAAAAAGATAGATAGGTACTTAAACTTAAAATAAATAGAGAGAAATATCTGAAAACCAAAAGTCACTTGAGGAATAAATAAATATAACGCAGATTAGAAAATTTATTTGAAACTTTTCTTGCAATCAAATATCATATAAACGGGTGTTCACTGGCTCTTAGACCATTAAGACACAGCCAGGATTTCAATCCCATCCAGATTTGCATCACAGTATTAGATATTTTTGGAATGTGGACAATTATTTCATCAGATCAAGATTATGTGAATGTATAGAGTAAACCTAATATGAAATATGTAAATATAAATACTTATGTACAGTCGTTCATCGTTCGGGAAACTAAAATATCCTAAGCCTGGGCTAGTTCTAGTGTTGTTTTTACAGACAAAACAGGAAGCAACCATGATAATACACAATATATAAACGATAAAACAGTCAAGTACACAAAAATCGCGAATAACACGGAAAGCAAAACACTCTTAACAAAGCCGAATTTCAAATTGATGAATTTTCCGGTTACTTTTCAATTTCCTGAATAATTTCAGTCAAAAAACTTCTCTTCTTTTTTTGTAATACAATCCTGTTGCGTGTCTCGTTTGACAGTTATTTCTCGCGGGTTCTCACCCAAGCTATCTCTATCTCTTTTTTGCGTGCAGGATTGGAAAGAGACATGTATATGCCGAACTGCCTTTTCAATTTGAGAGATTTGTTCACTCATTGAACGCATGCGCAAAATATGTGTCAAAGTGCTCCTATTGGTTGGAGAATTTGGCCTCAAAAAATATGGAGAGTTGTACAACTGTATCGGTACGGTATAAACTGTGCTATAAGCTTGGTATTTCCATCTACATCGCTGCAGAACCTACATTCCGTCTCATTGCTGAGTCCGATTTTATGTAGGTGGTATCTGACCACCCAGTGTCTCGTCAGGACGCCTGTCATGGCTTTTAGTTGGCTCCTGTTTAGTTTTAGGAGACTTTTTGCCTCTTTGCAGTTTGAAGGACTTTGTATAAAGATCCCTATCTGTCTGAGGCCTCGTTTTCTCCATTCATCTTGGAACCGATTGTTGGACCGGTTCCTAATCTTGGCTTTCACCAGGCAGGAAACAACCCCAATAGCAGGCTCGGGCCCAATAAAGGCAGTTTGGTCTGCCTCCTCGTTGCCTTTTACGTTCCTGTGACCTGGGACCCAAACAAGAGTGACTTTGTTGAGCCCACTGAGTAGTTTAAGGGTAGTAATACAGTCAAACGTGAGTCTCGAGTTGTCTGAACCAAGGGCGCGGAGTGCGTGCTGCCTGGCTGTCGCTGCATATATGAATATGCTTGTCCGAGTAACCTCTCTGGAGATTCTCCTGAGCACATGCCTGTATGGCGTTGATCTCAGTCTTGTATACCGTTGGCATCAAAACATTCTGCCGCTCAATCTAGCCATATCCCGAAAATCTAACCAATTAAATTCGATGTGGCTATTTTGAGCGGCATAATGTTACTACATGGGCTAGATCAGCGGTCAGAATGTCGGGACGGCCTGTTGCACTTGTCCGTTAGAAGTGCCGCATGTTTTGTTTATTTAATTTATGCGAAGACATTTTTGGATAAAACTACCCACAACGTTTGTTTATTCTAATGTGACTGAAAATATTATCGTGCAAACTTGTTATCCGAAAACGACATAAAAATTTAGATTAAAGATTTACCCCTCAAATAATAAAAACGGAAAATCAAAAAATTCGGACTGCAGAGCAAATATAAAAATTCGTATTAAAATAACAACGAAAACAGGATATTGACTATATACAGGGTGTCCCTTAAGTGATGGTAAATATTTTGACAGCCGATTTTATATATAAGGTCTATTTCTGCAGAAATCACAAACCAGTCGGAGTGAATTTCATTGGTTGAAACTAGTTTTCTGACTGTTTTCAACCAATGAAATTCGCTCTGACTGGTTTGTGATTTCTGCAGAAACAGACCTATATAGATAAATAAAATATTGACATTGTCAAAGTTTCCTAGATCAAAAGTCAGTGGCCATACAAAAATGCAGGGTGATAAAGTTGATTTGGTATTTTTATTAAATTTGGGTCATAAATTTCGCAATTACATGTCTATTAGTCTGTCCTTTTGCTTTTGAATTTTGATTTGAATTTGAAGGTTTTGCTTCTCATTCTACACCTGGTCATCACCTGGTGCAGCTTGGTATTACTTTGCCTTTGGTGCAAATGAACAAACAAAGTTATTGAATCGACTATCAATAAAATATTTACCATTACTCTTGGGACACCCTGTACATACATTATACTTACAGGGTGCTAAAAATGCAAATCATGATGAGATAAAAAAAACTGTTTATTTCATCATAAATCGCATTTGAGATTTATGAATTTTTAAATACATAGGTACCATCGTCACCCAAAGTAACTAGGACACAAATAATGCATAATAATCTCCTGGACTAATTCTACTGTCATTCATTTCAATGCATTAAATACATAGTTTGACAAATATTTGACAATAAAATTCATATAATAGGACAAGAGCTAATGTGATGCTGTCCCAGTTACTTTTGGTGGCGATGGTACATTTCTGAACACGTACAAAAGACAGATTTTTTAACATCAAACATTATTAAATTTAATACTAATGCTCTATCGCCTGTAACATTCTGACCCTGAATCTAGCCCATGCAATAACATTCTGACCCTTTAAATAGCTCCATCATCGTCCCAACATTCTGACCTCTCATGCAGCGCATGTAGTAACATTATGCCACCCAAAATAGCCACATCGAATTTGATTGGTCAGGTTTCTGGGCTATGGCTAGATTGGCTGGCAGAATGTTTTGATGCATACTGTTGGGTATCGACACAGTGCAAGATTAATTCTCGCTACAGTTCTCTTTCCATATACACTAGCCCCTGCACCCTCCCCCGTCAGAGTCAGAGACCCGTCTGTGTACCAGATGATCCCTGCGGCTTGAGAAATGTCAGGCTACGCCTGAGCCGCAGTTATTTGCTGTTAACACTTTCTGTGAATTAAAGCAAACTTTTGTAAGTAGAAAAAGGCCACTTTATTTCTCCTTTGAACAAGAAATCAAAGCACCAACATCCAACCCATTCTAGAATTATTATTCTCCTTCTTGTTGCTGAATATTGACAGACTTTATATGTCATAGTATTTTTCGCAGCGGAACAGCACCTATTTAGCTAATGACTACGTGTAAAGCGATGTTGCCGTATTAACCCTAACTAAAGCTAATTATAGGAAAAACTATTTTATATTGAACAAAAAAGCTTGGGTCAGTCGTCATTTGCAGGAATGACAACCTTGTATTGTTTAAAAGGGGCTGAAGTATTTGCCATTGCATCCATTCGGGTGAGAAGGGGGTCCTGCCTAATGGTGCCAGTCCAGGCCCTTGCATGTCCCCTACTCAGCCCTCTGTGAACCCATTGTTCCCAATCGTTGAGTCTGACAGAAGCCTCCCGGGCTGTGCCTCCACAAAGAGGTGGAAAGGTTATATGCCTAGAATGGCATGCATTTACAGCGTTGGTGTGGTTATCAAGGCTCCAATTGTAGCCATGTAGGCAACTCGTTGGGGTTTGGAGCTACTACGGACAATGAAGCAAAGGCTATTCATATTAAGAGGCCTAACAGAAAAACACAGGATTTTGAAAATAGCGCCATTGATGCAGAACAGGAGCTTCACTGAAATAAATAACCGGAAAGCAGAAAAACTTCAACTTGCTTGCTCAAAATATTTCGGATCTTATTTACACTGATTTGGATTTGACTGCACAGCTTGTGGAATTTAAAGTGACTGATAGGGAGCTTAAACAGAATCTTGCAAATTTAACAGAGACCAACAAGAATATGTTAACTAGCATTCAAGTGTTAACACAGGATAGGGAAGCATAAACACATATAATGGAGCTGAAGAACGCCAAGGTAAACCTACTACATGCGAAGAAAACTCCAATCTAGTAAATCTAGGTGTGATAGTTTGGAGATGGAATGGATGGAAAGCTTTCTGGTTCTTGTACTTCTGGAACTATCCTCAAAAATCAAGAGAGTAGTAGAGGTGTCCCTAGAGAGGATGATGTGACATGCTTTGATGATGTTACATGCTTTGATAATGTGACATGCTGTAAATCTA